GGAGGCTTTCTGCGTTGTTTCTCGTTTCTTGGCCCTTTTTTTTATATTTTGTTATTTGTGTATACCTGAAGGGAAATCAATCTCAATATACCCAGCTGTTTTATCGCTTAAAAGTTAAAGTGAATGTTGGCAAATAATAAAAAAATGCCCACCTACAAGTTAGTAGTTTCAGCTTTGTCTCTTAAAGAACGTAACACAAATAAGTGTTAACGTTCGTCGAATACGCTCGAGAATTTTCGCATTAATTGGTTAATAAGAGTCACGTGACTAACGTATAGTCTAGAGACACCTTTTGTGACAATATTTATCAAAACCTTTCATTGATTTGCGTTTTTTTTTTCTTTTTCTTTTTTAAGAAATGACTCCATTAAACAAAACACCGAGAGAAAGGAGATGCTAACCCTAATTTTGATCTGGTCATCCACTACGTCAACTCATACTGGGCGGCAGGATGAAAAATTGACTTTTTCCTGCCTCGACTAACGAATTAACGATGGAAATGGCATCCATATTTGCTTAACAACGTTAGGTGCAGCACACTAGCCCGCGTCACGTACCACGGTATGCACATTAAGCCTAACGAACCATCTCTTGGGCATTTTTACGTTCTTCACCGAACTTTAGCGCGAGTTGAAGCACGAGCAGCTCGCACCAAGCGGTCCACGCGCACACCTGCAGACGTGTAAATAGCAGATCGCCTACGCTTCCAATCAACTAATCTAGACAGTCTAATAAACACTTCTTTCCCGAGATCTAATAGCATCTTCTTACACCAGAGCTCGCTGAAATGGCAGTGAGAGATAAATTGCCTTGCAGGAGGTTCGGGTAAGCCTCTAATAGTTAAGGTTTAGGTGCTTGAAGCCTTGAAAATCGAAAAGTATCCTTTTTTAGTCCTAGTTAACACTAGCATTTGGTACGAATAGCTCAGCATGTCCGTTTAAAAAAGATATGTTTATTGAATACCGGCCGTGTGCATCCAAAGAAGGAAAATAACCTGTATGGTCAAGTTGTTATCATCGGATGTTGTTGTGTTGTAACATGTCTCACGTAAAATAAGGCATATGAGCAGAGGGTATTGTACAAAACATGAATTATGGACAGAATGTAAGGTATGATATAGTAACAATACTGAGACATGATAGAGGGGATGGGGTGTGAGAGAAAAAAGCCGTGATAAAAAAAGCGTAGATATTACTGTCCTAACTTATGTTTATATGGAAGTGTCCGGATGTCCTACGTCTTTTTTATTCGAATGTAAGGATTTTTTTTTTGGGGGGGGGGGGAATCTACGTATATTAAAGCGTTTAAATTATCTTTGTTTACTTTGCGCGAGCTTCTTCACCTTGTTGTTGTTCCAGTCACTTCTCCTCCTGGTGGTGTCCCCCGATGGGACAGTGGTAAGTCTTCGGATTTGCAATGCTAAAATCAGAAGGTTCGATTCCCCTCGGTGGACACAGCAGATAGCCCGATGTGGCTTTACTATAAGAAAACACACTACACGCTGGTGGTTCGGCGATAAGCTCGATAGTTTTATAAAGCTGAAATCCGGGGTTCAATCCCTGGCGTGGGCACAGTACGCGGAACCCATTATGCAGCTTTGTTCTTAACAACAAACAGATAACTCTCACGTCCTTCAAT